GTGATCGGGAACCGTTGAACTTATGCCCTTATACCGTGTATTTACTTTGGCTCGTTCCAAAATCACAGAGGAAGATTGCAGTAAATATATGATACCTTCCAGGCTCGACCCTTTGTTTGCCCGTGAGCTTGTACAAGTAGTTACTAGGTTAATCACCGACGCTCCCAAACTCTCTGAGAAGTTAAATATGCCTGATCCAGCGGCGTAGCCGGGGGGGGCTGGGGAACGTGCCCTCCCATGAAAAACAATTCCCTGTGCCTCCCACTGCAAAAAACGGATGAATGGATATAGAACATGACTAACAAAAACTTGCCCCCAAAAAACACATCACTGAAAGCTGGTGCCCCCCATTAGATGCTGGCTCCCCCTTTTCCCCCCACTAGTAAAATCCTAGCTACGCCACTGGGCTGATCGCCGCTTCATGAACATTGAGAAGGAGGCTCATTTTGGAATGGCTTGTGCGGTGTCACAGTCTTGGCTTTTGGATGCGGCTTCGAGACAAATCTCAAAGTTGGCGGAATTCAGAACGCATCTGACCAACAGAGTTTGAATGAACTGATGCTTCAGGTTGATGTTGGGTCAGTGTCTCGGTCGCTGAATACGGCACAGGAAGCCACTCTTGACATGCTAGACCTCCAAGTGAGTGAATCTGCCATTGCTAAATTAGCCAGGCGCTACTTGTGACTGCAGTAAACCCCCTGGGCTGGCAATACCAAGTCAAAACTGAAATATGCTCCAATACGGGGTATGGCAATCATTGTGGGGGCAACACAATGGAAGTATTGGAGGAGTACCTGGTGGACAGTCAGCTTGATGGGACTGACGGTCTTCGTGGTGTTCCTCTTCAGAATGCTGGCTTTCATCAAACCGGCTCATTCAATCCCAAGTCCTCCGACGACCTCCATCCTTCTCTTCCACCCAGAGGGATGGATCGGTTAATGGTCCCCAGGCAGGGACGTTCAAGAAGCTGAGGCGTTATAAGGGAAATTTTCATGTTACCAAAGCCAGCCTTCAAAGGGGTTTGTCAGGAGAGAGGACCATTCCTACGAAGCATCCGTGACAAAGGATTCTCGACCTTCAAGTCAAAATAGGATGACGAAGGTCCTTCCAGTTCTTTCCGTAAATCCAGTTGGGGGGAAGCGGATCATATCAAGGGTAGATGTCTGGCTTCTCATCACAAAAGACTGATGGGATCTCGACATTGCGAAGTTTGGTCACCATTTGGAGATCCAGCATACGCATCAGTTCAACGGCATCAAGAACACAAGAGCAGGCCCAAAGTTATCAGTAAGGTCCTCAGTTTTGTGCGACGAGGTTGACGCCTTATTAAGCAAGCATGTCATCAAGCCGGTACCTCGATTTAGTTGGAACGAAGGGTTTTACTCAACATTCTTTACAGTGGCAAAGAAACCTTCAGGTTAAAGACCGATTCTTTACCAAAAACCTCTGAAATGGTGTATCTAGGCTTCACTTGAGGCCAATTCTGTTGCATCTACTCCACTTTTGGCGCCCGACCTTGAGAAATTTGGAGGCTTTGATTCCAATAACAACCATCTTCTCTGTCAACTGCAGTCTCGAAGGTCAGAGAAGAATTTACAGGAGGGAGTTCCTCTGGAAAGGGTTCCACCAACGATGACCCTATCGACCGACTCCAGCTACTGTAGTTGAGGAGCCCATGTGGGAATCAGTTTGCCCAGGTTCTCAGGTTGGAGGAAGACCTGCGTTCCTGGTACTCAACATGAAGGAGCCAACATCGGTGATGACGGTCTGTCAACATATTTGTCCACTCCTGAAGGGAAGAAATGTCCTTATAAAGTTGGACGATTCCACATTAGTGTCGTACATAAACGGCGTGGGTTTTTTCCAACAGGTGGCTGCTGAAACTATGGCTGGCCGTCGGTACAAAAGTAAGTGAATAAATCACAAAGTGCTAAAAGTCCCACGCAGCAACCAGAACACTATAGATAATAACACACGTACTACTAAACACTAAATGAAAACAAAACCCTATTTAAGATTAATGGGACAAATGTGTAATTTGAATGAATACGAGACAAAATCGAAAACCAACCAAAAAGTGATATTTCTGCGAACTTTGGCCGCCCATATATGTTGTAGCTAAAATGAGAGTGGTCTATCACCTACTGTTTAGACCTCCTCAAAAAAGTTGACATCCTGAAAGTTTTTATACAGCTCATACTTTTGTGGCATGTGAATTAATAACGAAGATTAATTTAAGTAAATCTGAATTGTAGCCTGTTTTACATTCTTAGTCTAAGTCATATTGTGAATAATGATCTTTTTATTGTCAATCTCGTGAACTCGATCCAGCCTATTCTTGACTCGGGAACAAAGCAAGAAATCAGCTGCCTGCCTGTTTCTCTGTTATGGAAGGGGTTTGTGCAGTGTCTTTTCTAAATGCAGTCATCAAAATTCACCTTTGTTTTCCATTCAGTTTTATTTTCTTTCTTTTTTGGGGGGGTACCATTTAAAACGATAAGTTGATAGCGTTCTGTTTTTTTTTTAATGGTGGTGCCAATTTCCACATCTATGAGCGAAAGTGCGGGTGCCAGGCTGCGCAGAAACATCAATGTGACAGCTGTATTTCAGGCCACAAAAGCTGGAATTTTTGAGAAAATGCTGAACTTTTTTCTCTTTAAATTTATTGTTGTTTATAGACACGTGGAACTACGAAGCTGTATTAGGAATATGATCAAAAATTCATTTCTCCTTCAGCTAACTCATACGTACGATTTTACATCTCGTACGTACGACTAATACCTCGTATACGTCCGACTTATGAACCAGAACTCGTACATATGACATACAAGTCGTTCACGTGTACGACACAGAAGTCGCACGTACGAGTGAGAAGAGAAGTTTTTTCACCATGTCCCTATCAGCGTTGTGTGGAACATCCTTTTGTCACATTTTTTTCAGCGGGCAAATTTAGGGTTCACTCTTTGAGCAGAAAACCCGTAAAGCGAATGAGTGAAAAGCACTTTCCCAGAATGACCTCAACTCACTTCTGTGCAATAGCGCCCTCATGTCATTTTTCTGGCGTAAAAGAAATGTATTTTTTAAATAGGATTAACCGCACAGGGATGCCAAAATTCAGCAGATGTTCCGTTTAATATTTTGCGTACGTGTCACTCTAAATGCCAAAGGACACTCCAATCGTTGACGAGTGAAAATTCACGCCCTACCATAGAAACAAGATAAATTCCACTGAAATTTCTTCACTCCAGGAGATCGAGATTCTACTCAAGTTCTGACCGATGAGTTTCTTTTTCAAACTTCTTTTCAGCCTCAATTCAGAGTGAGTTCCACTCTCAGACGTCTTGTCCCTAGCCTGGTTTCACTCTTCGTGAAACGACAATTTTTGGTGTTTCAACCAGCAATAACCAATGTGGGCAATTTTCACTTCACATGCTGTATGTGACGACACAAATATAGCCGTGATGACGTCAGGGTCCTGCATATTCATTACGCTCTCGACTGTCGAACCTTTTTACACTACCGTTACGGATATACCTTTCAGAGCGAGACAGCATGTGCACATGTATAGTCTTTTTGATGTTCTGGTACAAAAATAGTACAACGAACAATCTCGATTGGCCGACCGTCAGACTGTGTGTCATGTGACGCTTGCTACTTTTAATATTTTTGCGCCGCAACTCGACAAAGACTGTACACATGCAGCCTCGCTCTAAAAAAGAACTATGCCCGTAGCAACCAAAGAACTACATCCGTAGCAACGATATCGCATGAATAGTATAGGTGTGTATTTCGGCTCATTTGAGTTGTATACTCGAATCAGTTGACTTGGACTCTCGTCGCTATTTTTATGAATCATGACTTAATTTGTAACTATCAGTTTTGACATTTGACTTGGCTTGGACTTGCAAAATTGACTTGCCACCACCTCTGCGGCACATAGCGTGAACCTGTGGGTGAGGTGTTATAAAATAAATATTGACTGCTTTATCTCTTGGTGTAGTAAAACTACTACTAGTCTCCCTCGGTCCACACACAGAATCGTGTGCGGTACCATTACATAATCTGCCACACATAGAGCTACTCTATGGTATAACTGTTTACTGTACATAACAGAGGTCTATACCACTCGATGGCCGACGCAGTCAGTACATGTACACTGATGATGTACATGTATTTGTACATGTATACTAGTACGTTACATGTACAGTGCAGCCTACCATCCTGCGTGGACGTACCTCCGAGGCAAGGGTAGATCCAGGGGGCAGGGGAGATCCCCAAGCCAAAAAATGAACTAAGACTTTTTTGGGGGGGGGGATAATGAGTCGAAATTTGGTCCTCAATCCGCCCTTGCGCCTACGGATGTGAAATCTATTCAGTGCGGCAATACATTGTGCGTCTCCGCAAAAACATCAGTTTGCCGTGAAAGTTTCCCCCTATTCTCTGTTGTTAAGGCCAAGGCAAGATGCCGTGCTGTTGCCGTGCCGAACTTCACACTTTGAATTACATGTATTTGAGTTCAACACCGAGCCTTGGATTCTAGCCTTGGCCTAACTTTGTTTGCAGTTGTCTTTACATACTCTGTCCAGCGTACTTTGATGTATACGATAGTCGTCTGGGTCATTCTTACAATTTAACACTATGCAGTTTCAACAATCATTTTTGTTAAATAGTTTTTTCGATAATTATACCTTTCAAACAGATCTAAATGCGTGTAATCTTGCCCAGAGTGAGAGGTATTATATTTATGGGTTTTTGAAAAATATTTTAATGCAACATGTTTGGATTCTTATTCTTTACACTTTTAAATGTATTGTTACTTTTCTAATTAATTTTCTTTCAGTAGGCTATGCATCTCTTACAAAAGCCTGCCTTGTTTTCCACAGCGTGACGAGGGGCAATACAGAACCATTATATTCGCATTGCTCTCTGTAGACACAGCTTTTCCAGTGCTCTTCTGCCCCCGAGTATAACGCACTGTATTTTTCCGCAACGCAACGCGTTTCTTGCGAGGCTCCAAATATATGCGAGATATACATGTACATGCAAATTAAGCGCCTGCGTATACTGTGATTAAATGACCTTTCGACCAGAGTACACATAGACTCCAATGCCAGTACCTCTGTGCGGATAGCTTATTTTCCTATGTATGGAAGCCACTTACCTCCACCGGCGGCTTGTTGCTGTAGTTCCTGGATTTAAAATGCATAGTTTGAAACGGAGGAAACGGAGATTACTTTTTATCATAAGTTGTATGCTGTCATGCGTTTATTTATTCCGTACACTGTGCTGTAAATACGACGATCCTACACGAAGAATATATCAAGGACGACCTACGAGTTCCTCACCCAGGTAAAACTGTAAATAATGTATGCAATATGTTTGTATCTATATACAGTTGTATATGTATCCAAATGGAAACTTCCCTGTCTGTTGATATAAAGAGTGGGAAACGTACGGTGTTTTTGGTTGCTTCGCCACATAGTAACAGTATACTATTTTCCTCATTTTGGTCTTGGTTACCAAGGAGGCATCCATTGAAGATGCGAGTACATGGACGAGGAAATGAATGAATCAGAACGTCCAACGATCGCAATAGTATTTCGAATGAGTGAGCCTGTGAGACATATCTATATCAGCATGTACATAGGAAGATTCAGTTCCGGGTATTAAGCAATTTTATTATATCTAGATTATCTACCGATTCTCAATATTCTCCCAGTTGCACGCATTTTAACATATACCGAATATTATAAAGTATCATTATAAAAACGCACCCTTGCGTGAGTCTAGGGAGAATACCACTCATGTACTTAATGCAGTTGCTAAAAAATCGATCCCACTCGAATCACTGCTATTGAAAATCGATGCTTTTATTTTTGAATTATTAGTCACTGAGCATTTCTATACGATCTCATGAATAAAGTATCAGAAATTTGCGTACACATTCTCAAGCTGTAATGAATCTGTGTTCAAGGAATTGCAGACAGTAATGTTTGGCAATGCTTAAATATTTGGAAACTCGTTTTCACCTCAACCTGCATATACTTCAGTGTATCAACAGTTTTTGAACTGAAACCCCTGGGAGTCATATACATACACTGGAAACGTGTACTCACTGAAAATATAAGTTGGTTAAACCAACCCCGAGACCAACCGAATAATGGCGCAAGCTTTGTCCACACTAATCACCGTTGATTATTGGCGCCCGTCGGTCAAATGGATGTGTAATTGTGGTATTATAAAGAAAGACCAAGGATGATGAACAAAATTAAAAATCTGACCATAGGCTTGGGTACTGGTGATGGTGGCGGCAATGGCGGTGGTGTATATGAGTTAGTTTCTGCATTCAATTGGGAACCTTAAACAATACAGGACAACAAGGTCCCCGATTGACAAGGGTCCCCGATTGACAACTGTGTACAAAACATATGGGTGGTCTTCTGAAAAGTTTAAATACAAACAAAAGAGGAAAAATAGGGGTCCCCAGCTACAGGCAGATACACACTTGTGTGCAGCGTCCACGGTTGTCGAAGAGTCCACGGTTGGAAAACGTGTACAAAACATATGGGAGGTCTTCCGAAAAAGTTAAAGTATGAACAAAAGAGGAACAATAGGGAGTCCACTTTTGAAGGCGTTTACACACTTACATGCGGGGGGGCGGTATAGGTTACACTTCCCTTAAATAAAGGGGGCAGAGGAGTTTAGTTTTTCTGAATACGTGATATTGTTATCTTATACGATGGATATTTGTAAGGACCTTTGGATGATAACGACTAGGCCTATAGTGAAAACATTCTACAGGCCCTATCTCAGCGTTTGGCAGCCAAATGAATGTTCTGCATTTCTAATGCGTAGTTCAATTGTTTGACAGCATTGTCAGGAAAGAGAGGTTGTCAACAGCTCCAAGAATAACAACGATATCGTCGGGAAATGGCACCGAGGTAGGAATGTGTTCAAACACTGAGAGATTTCAGCGCAACTAGTGTGCTTCGCTTTACCGGATAGCTTCAGACTAGTATCTACTGATTGTGTGCCGTATATAACGATAATTGGAAATAGTAAATGGAACAGTGGGAAACCTTCAATAGAAGCCCTTGACGGAATCACGCTCGGCATTTGAATTTAAAACCAGGTTGGCGTTTAGTCAATCTTAAGATGGTCAGTCAATCTTCCAGAGTTCAGTTTAATTACAAATAGGCCTAACAAATTACGTAATAAAAAGGGTGAAATTCACAATTGAAACAGCTTCTTGTCATATGAACAAATATATTATTTTGTCAGAAAACACTTGCTTAATTGAAATACGGGGATATCCCGACTCAATCAATGTACTTAAGATAAGAATTAACTCTGAGCGATGCATGCATGGAAAGGACTTAACTCGCCAAACGGCAGATTTGCCGGGACATGATGAAGACATACCGTTACAAACATCGCGCAAGCATTTTTAGTGTGAATGAGTGCAAGAGGAAATAAGACTTGCGCGAATTTGCATGGTATGCATAAATTAACCAGCTTGATGATAACATCTGGAAACCTACTTGGTACTTATAATTTGGGGAAAATGACATCTTTCTTGTCTATACCGTACTTGTACAAACGCCTTCTCGAATTCAGATTTCAAATTCTGTACACACAGTCTTCTGATTTTAAAACATCATGAGGATTAGGTCGATTACTGAACTCAACTTAAAAACCAAAACTGAACAGTAACAAGTGACGATCATTGAGAGAGAAAAAAGGATTTGGTAACCTACGATATCAATTCTCCCAAAGATCCGAGCATGGAAAAAGCCGAGCTCAGAATAAGAACGCCGAAGACTCCTGAATTTCGAATTTCTTTTTCCCCGCAGAATTACAGGCCCTCGGAAAGCCTTTCAGTCAGAACTGACACCATGCGGTGAGCTTCATTTCATTTTCTGGGACCATGATTTTTGTGCCCCCAAAGTTTTGCATGAGACTTTGTGAAGGAGCCGTGCTGTTGTGAAATAACTTCTTAACTACGCCGCATGACCCAATACAAGCACCCCTATTGTTTGTTTGCTTGCGTGCGTGCTTATTTTGGTTTTTGCTTATTTTGAAGGTTTTTCCTTCAACACCAAAATCACGAATAATATCGCAATTTCATGATGTTGAGGAGGGCCAATACTTCGGGGGAGATCTTTCCAAATTATTCAAAGGCAGGCCCAAGACCACAAGGCTCCATAATATACATCATAAGTGGTGGGGCACTTCGTTCCTGTAAAAAAAAAGAAAGAAAATTAAGAAAGGGAACAAAGAAAAGAAAGCACGCCAGAAAAGAAAAAAAGAGAGAAAAGGATAAAATTGATCTTTTTTAAAACTTTTTGTTAGGGAATACCTCAGCATTGACCCCCTTTCACCATTGATTGGTTCGTTGCTGGTGATTGTATTTCCCCACAAAAGTACTGCCCTCCCCCTGGAAAAAAGTCCTTGCGACGCCAATGCATGTTGTCCGTGTCGTGCTGATATTCATGTATATATATTTTTTGGTGTAAATCTCTGATTTCCTTAACTTTTATTGGACGTCAGTATGTTGTTAAAAACCAGTTGAGTAAGGTGTCCATCAGTGTAAAACGTTTGTAAAAGTGGATTTCGGCAATGTCATCATGCCGTGCGATATAACAGCAATATTTCGATATACAGCAAGTGCTGGAAAGAATACAGTAACCAGCAATTTACGCCTTGACATAACATGCTTCAGGCTGCTGTGAGGATTTATACTGTCATCATTACATGCGCCAATTCGAAAGTTTTGTTTGACATTTTTAAATTTAATTCAAGGCAATGGCTGGAATAATCGCAGATTATTAA